GTACCAGTGGGAGAGATGGGAAGGGAAGAGGAAAGACGAGGGGAGAGAGGAGAGGGGAGACGAGAGGAGAAGGGACGGGAGAGAGGAGAGGGGAGGGCAGTTAGAGGAAAGGGGGGAGGACAGAGGGGAGAGAGAAGGGGGGTCAGAGGGTATGAGGGGAGTTCACTCCGAGCACTGTCACAATGTCTGACTCAGGACCATGAGTGATTTATCTGTTGAGGCCGGATCAATGGAATCATTCAGCAGGAAAACGGAAAGTCTCCTGAGCAGCTACAGCATTGAGGGACGAGGTGGAGAGAGGGGGAGAGAGAGAGAAAGGGAGAGGGACAGAGAGAGAGAGTTGAAAAGTCAGCTTAGTGTCTTTGAATCCAACAGACACCTCCCAAATTGTTGTGTGTGTACACACTCCCCCCCCACACCCCCCCATGGTAACCATGGAAGAGGACAGCGATCTGAATACACTTCATTAATAAGGAACTGAAAGACAAAGCCAGACACACATGGACAGACAGAGAGTCAGAGACACATACAGACAGACTGAGATAGAGAGGCTGAGAGAGAGAGAGAGGGCTTATTGACCCAGATACACTAACAGGGAGATGTCCCATGGCCTCCCCAATCAGGAGCTCACAGTATAACATGTAGGTGCGAGTACACAAAACAAGTCACAGCAGGTCTGGGCCACAGCACAGGAACCCTCTGTCTGGATACTCCACAGTCTAACCAGGTGGGAGGGGAAGAGGCAGGGGCTCGGGGCGGGGGGAAGCTCAGGCGATTGCATTCTCAGACACACCATCCTTCCTTCGGATGAGACATTCAACCAAGGTCCAGGAAGACATTAAAAATCTTGCACAACCTGCTGGAAAAGAAGGGGGGTGGGGGGGAGTCTCCAGAATTCCCAGGCCAGATGCCTGCCACCCCACCCCCCTCACCACCTCCGTGCTGAGCATCTGTCTCTGAGGTTTTTGACACCAGAACACGCCCAATGAGTTGACGCTGAACCAACTGGAGCACGGATGAGCGAGACAGGCCGGTCTTTCACTCGCAAACCCACAAGAAATTCCATGTAATTTACGTAGCTATTTGTACACGCAGAGCTCTGCTGCTGTAGTTACTCTGTACCCACACAAGCCTGTCCTCGCACTCAACGAGGGCTCACACAGTCAGCCACACCCCATCCCTCCCCGGGGCTAAACCAAGCTGTAGGAAGCTAGTGTCCGTGCTTGCAACCTCCGCGCCCCCAAGCCTCGGCACTCGCCAGTCTGCACCCTACCCTACCCCGGGATTAGGTGTGTCCTCCTCCCAGGGAAAGAGGGAGTGCGCACACTCCACAGTGCACACATAGAATCCAAATACTTGTGGAATGCTCAGGGCAGTGAAACCTCCTTATGACGCGGTGACTGAGCCATAAAATCCTGTCGAGACACAATGCTCAATTCCAATTTGTTTTTGGTCAACCAAGTGTCTGACACAGACGGAAGCCCATCACCATCATTTAAGAATCTCCAACCCACACTGAGAATTCCACACATCCCACCTTCACGTGGAAATCCCAGAGATAAATTGTTGGAATGGAATGCGCTCTCTCTCTCTCTCTCTCTCTCCCTGGAGGGAAGCATCCTGCTTACCTAATTCTGGAAAGTATTAGGTGTAGGTTGGTGAGAGCCAAGGCTTTGGGGGAAGCCCAGAAGGTGAGTTGGGGGAACTGCTGGGGTCTAACCAGCTAAAACCGATAGCTTGCCATTGAGAGCGCTGTCTGGCCAACTTTCCCGCTGCTTTTCCAGCTAGGACCACCCTCCCCATTATTTAGGGCTTTGGCTGCAGGGTTAACAGGAGCTGAGGGGGAGGATTCCCTACCCCCAGTGACTGGTCGGCCCTTCCAGGTCCTACCGGTGAGCCAGGCCGGGCTGTGCTGTCATCAGCAGTGAATGCCCTGGGACACTGCGGCCCCTCCTGGCTCAGGAACCGGACTAGAGGCCTGGCTCGATTCCAACATGTCACCTTGGAGCCAGTTCAGCTCCGAGGAGACCTGGTTTGGAATCTCCAAGCACGGTGGTTGGTTGGGCCTGGGGCATTTGCGGAGACATTGAGTCACAGTCCATAGCAGATTGGAGAGCAAAGCCTGGAGTCACACATTAACAGCCGAGCCATAGATCAGACATAGAACCATAGAATCATAGAATCGTACAGCTCAAAAAACCCATCGGGTTTGTGCCAGCTTTGAATAGAGCAATTAATGTCAGTCCCACTCCCCAGCCCTTACCCCATAACCCACAAACCCGTCCTCCTCAAATACCGTCCACCGCATTTTTAAAAGTAGTTATCGAATCGGTCTCCACCGCCCTCTCAGGCGATGCGTTCCAGATTCGAACAACTCGCTGCGTGAAAACATTTCTTCTCACTCCCCGTCGGCTTTTTTTAGAGACTATTTTAAATCTGTGACCTCGAGACACCGACACACACACCAGTGGGAACAGTTTTTCCTTTTCTAACATCAAATCCCCTCATGATTTTGAAGACCTCTATTAGGTCTCCTCGTAACCTTCTCTGCTCCAATGAGAATAATCCTAACCTCTCCAGCCTTTCCTCATCATCACGGTCCCTCATTCCTGGTACCATCCTCGTAAATCTCCTCCTTTCCAATACCTTAACATCCTTCCTATAGTGCGGTGCCCAGAACTGGGCGCAGTATTCTAACTGAGGCCTAACCAGTGTTTATATAGGTTAATGATAACCTCCTGACTCTTGTACTCTGTGCCCCTATTTATAAAGCCAAGTATCCCATATGCCCTTTTTACAGCTCTATCTCCCTGTCCTGCCACCTTCAAGGATTCAGTTACCTGCCCCCCCAGGTCTCTCTGTTCTTTTACCCCCCTTAAGATTGTATTACCGCCTATATTACCCCTCATTCTTTCTACCAAAATGCATTACCGCGCATTTCCCCACATTGAAACTCATCTGCTATGTGTCGCCCATTGTACCATTCTGTCTATGTCTTCCTGCAGTCGGCTCCTATCCTTCTCACTGTTTACCGCCTCCCTCACTTTGTTAACATGAAAGTCAACTCCCACGGCCTGTCCCTGGGCTGGAGTTAAACACCCTCATTGCTTGGAAGGGAAAAAGACTGTGTCTCCCAGGGCCCCAGCCCACAATCCTTGAGATCAGTCACTCTCCTCATAGCTGTACCAGCCCAGCACACTTGCCAACACAGTCACTACACTGACAGCTCACACACAGTCACTATTTCCTTACTCCACACGCCTAATAATCCCTCCAAAAACCCAAAACAATAATAAATTGGTCATTTTCAATCTACGACTGTTTGTGGGACATTGCTGTGCGCAATTGGCTGCCGCGTTCGCCCACAAATATACAGTCAATTCACTTTACAGTGTGTTCCGTGAAGCGCTTTGGGACGTCCTCCGGACGTGAAAAGCGCTATATCAAATGCAAGGATTGTTATTATTATTATTATTATATGGACAGCTCACACACAGTCGCTACACGGACACACACACACAGTCACTACACTGACACTCACCCTCAGAGTCACTACAATGACAGCAATTACTATGAAGCAGAGAATGGTAGTAAGCGGTTGCTTTTCTGACTGGAGGGAGGAGTGTAGTAGTGTCCCTCAGGGGTCGGTATTGGGACCACTGCTCTTTCTGATCTATATTAATATCTGGACTGGGTATAGGGAGCACAATTTACAAATTTTCAGACGATACTAAGGTGGGAAAAGTAGTTAATGGTGAGGAGGATAGCACCAGACTCCAAGGGGACTTAGACAGATTGGTAAAATGGGCAGAAACGTGGCATATAAGATTTAATGTGGAGAAACGCAAAGTGTTGCATTTTGGTGGGAAGAATGAGGAGAGGCAATATAAGCTGATGGTACAATCTTAAAGGGGGCAAATGGACAGAGAGACCTGGGGGTCCACATAAGCAAATCTCTGAAGGTGGCAGGACAGGTAGATACAGCTGTTAAAAAGCAAACGGGATACCAGGTTTTATAAATAGGGGCATAGAATTCAAAAGTCAGGAGGTTATGTTGAATATTGATAAAATGCTGTTAGGCCTCAGTTGGAGACTGCGCTCAGTTCTCGGCACCGCACTTTAGGAAAGATGTTCGGGCATTGGAGAGGGTGCAAAGGAGGTTTACCAGGATGGTACCCGGAATGAAGGATCTTAGTTATGAGGAGAGGTTAGCGAAACTAGGATTATTCTCCCGAGAGCAGAGAAGATTAAGAGGGGATTCAATAGAGGTTTTCAAGATCATGAGAGGATTTGATAGGTTGAACCGGGAATAACTGTTTCCGCTGTCATGTGGGTCAGTAACCCGAGGACACCAATTTAAGATAGTTGTTAAAAGAAACAGAGGGGAGGTTAGGAAATATCACCCAGCGAGGTGTTGGGATCTGGAATGCATTACCTGAAAGGGTAGTGGAAGCCGATTCAATAACAACTTTTAAGAGAGAAGTAGATGGGTATTTGGGGAGGACGGGATTGCAGGGCTATGGAGAGAAAGCGGCCGGTGGGATTGAGTTGGAAGCTCTTTTTGGAGCTGGCGCAGACGCAATGGGCCGAATGGCCTCTTTCTGTGCTGTATGATTCTATGATTCTATGAAGTGTTTCGAGAATTTATAAGTTCCAAGAGATTCCTTGACCCCCCAACACCTGCCCCCTAGTGAGCCAGGGTGGCTCCACAGCACAACAACAACCACTACCACTTGAGTTTACCCCGTGTCCCTCACAGGGTACAGTACTGAAACCTGACGTGTGTTTGGGCATCGGAACCAATGAGAGGTTTTTACCCACAGAGAAACAGCCCATCCCAACCCCCAGCCAACCACAGCCGTATCAGCCACAACACGTCAACAAGACATTCAGCTTCCAGCTCCCAACAGCAAGTTACTGCACGGTGTACACACACCACTGCAATAACATGGATAATGCAGCCCCTCCCCCACAGTCACTCCCCACCTCCAGTTACTCACCTCGTGTGTTAGTTGCCAGATCAGCCACTTTCTGAAATGCATCCAAAAAGGCCCCGGCCACCACAATGGTGGTCCTGTAACAACAAGGAGACAGTCACTACACTGAGACAGCAAGACAAGCCTGTCACAAGCATATCTTCACATGGGAGAAGGGGAGTCAGACTCACGGTCTCAGGAGTCGGCAGGGGTAGTCAATCAGGAGTGCCTAGTGGCACTGGGAGATGGGCAGATACTTGGAGAGCAAGCTCCCACCCCGCTGCCCCCCCATCCCCCCACCCGCCGCCCCTCATCCCCCCACCCACTGCATCCCATTCCCCACCCGCTGAACCTCATTCCCCACCCGCTGCCCTCCATCACCCCCACCTGCTGCACCCCATTCACCCCCAGGTGAGGCCGTTCGTTCCAGGAAAGGGAAGGATTGCCATTGGCTGCGACACTGACCTGAGGTGTGACTGGAGTTTGCTGGCCTTGGAGATGAAGTCCTCCCAGACAGGGTATCCGCTCTGAGGAGAGAAACAGGTTCAGTGAGCAGGCGGCAGGACAGTAACACAAACCGCCCCCGACAGTCACACAGGCTCCGTCACGGCAAATCCCTGCCAACATCAGCGGTGTTTATACATACTTCTGTAGCTCAGTGGTTACAGCACTTGCATCGCAGGCGAGAGGACCCGGTTCGATTCCTGGGTAGGGTGAAACCTTAGGCAAGTTTGCTTTCTTTACACACCTGTTTATCAGCAGTAAGTAGGAACCCGATTGTTAGTCGGTTGGTGGATCGCTTTCCGGGGGTAATAATCCCTTAAAAATAATGGTCACTCAATAGACTGTGGGACCCTGTTATGCGCAATTGGCTGCGATGTTTTCCCCCCAACATACACTTTACAGTATATTTTGTGAAGAGCTTAGAGACGTCGCAATGGAATTACTGCATAGCAGCCCATTCAGCCATGTGTCTGCGCTGGTGCTCGCTCCCCCACTGGAGTTCTCTACTCTAACTCCATTCCCTGCTCAGTGAGAGATGCGAGGGGACACCATCCTCTCCACTGAAGGGATCATTAACAACAACAACAAATGACATTTACACAGCGACTTTCATGTCGGGAGGACGTCCCAAGGCGCTGGACAGTCAGGGACCCAAGCTGGTGGTTGGTATCAGGAGGGTTGGAGGGCAGGGAGGGTAGGGATAGGAGTGTGGCCGAAGGCGTGGTCGAAGAGGAGAGAGGTTGAGGAGGACGGGGAAGCCCAATCTGGACGCCAGCTGGTTTGCTCTTTATTAGAAACACATCTGGTGTGAAGTGTTTTTGGTGCAAATCCAGCTGAAATGGAAACAATGCGGGGCTGTGGGAAAGCTTCGGGACACTGGCCAACTGAGATCATGGCTTTGTTACGCTCCCTAAAAGGTGATATTAGCTGCTGGGTGACACCACACAGCACTGCCAACACACTGCACCACACCACAGGTGGTCTTAGAGATTACACCCCCCCCCAGACACACACACACACACACACTCAACATTGAACTCTCATCCATTTCACCCCATCTACAATCAGGGCACATTCCGAGGGGTGGGATTGGGGAAGCGGTTGTTTGTGTTTAAACTGATTTCATAATAGATAATCTCAAAGCCTCAAGTGACAAAATAATTAATAATAATAATCTTTGCATTTGATATCGCACCTCAGCACGCCACTCACATAGCCTCAGGGTACATCGGGAAATGGTTGTAAAAGCTTATCTCAGCAATGTAAGGAGCGGACTCCAGAATCGCTTCCAATTCAGCGGCGGAGCCCAGTCTCCCCCACCCTCCCCTGAGCGTGGCCTACGTGTCACCAGTGGGAGGTGATAACAAGGCTCAGAGGAAGGGAGGAAATCATGTCCGGCATAGCGCAGCGTCTCAGAGTATTCAAGTATTGAATCTCCATGCGCACACACATACACGGCACCCACACGGCACACACACATACACTCACACTCATTTATTCTGCTCTCCACGTTCCGCTGGGGGTGTCGCTGACAATGTAAATTCATGCAAAGTGCAAGTAGCCGTCTGCAGTTTTATTTGCATTTTGCACAGCCCACAGCAAGGAAACTGAACCCACAGCCAGTCCCACAAACAGTCGTGAATTGAGTGACCAATATTTTTTTGGAGGGATTATTAGCCCCAGAAAGCGATCCTCCAATCGACTAACAACCGGGTTCATACTTCTGCGAGGCAAACTGAGGTGTGTGGAGTAAGGAAACTTGCCCAATGTTTCGCCCTGCCCTGGGAATCAAACCCGGGACCCCTCGCTTGCGAAGCGAGTGCTCTAACACTGAGCTACAAGACTCCACTGTATCAGATAGGACTGTGCAGCTTGCAATGAGAGAGAGCTTCCCAGTCCAGCTCCGCACAGGGCACAGCTCACTCACATTCACAGCCACGCTGGCTCTCTCAATCGCCGCACTCTCTGCCCTGGCAGAGTCCCCCGCAGGTCTCCACACGCACTCTCCTTCTCCCCGGAGGGGAAGCTGAACATTTTGTCTCTCGCCCACCAGTTACCGCACACAGACGGCAAGATAGGAAGCCGGGGATTTAATAATAATAATAATCCTTGCTTTTGAGAATAGTGAAGGCTTTATCACATCGTTGAGACATCTCAAAGCACTTCACAGAATATTCTGTAAAGTGGAGTGACTGTGTCTTTTGTGGAAAAACACGACAGCCAGTTGCGCACATCAGTGTCCCATAAACAACAACAACAACAAGATTCCATTTATAGAGCGCCTTTCACATCGAGAGGACGTCCCAAGGCGCTGTACAGGCGCTGTAGAGTCCTGTAGCTCAGTGGTTAGAGCACTCGCTTTGCAAGTGAGAGACCTGAGTTCAATTCCAGGCAGAGGGCGAAACCTTGGGCAAGTTTCCTTACTCCACACAGAGCCAAATAATAATCCTCCAAAACCAAAAACAATAATAAATTGGTCATTTTCAATCTACGACTGTTTGTGGGACATTGCTGTGCGCAATTGGCTGCCGCGTTCGCCCACAAATATACAGTCAATTCACTTTACAGTGTGTTCTGTGAAGCGCTTTGGGACGTCCTCCCGACGTGAAAAGCGCTATATCAAATGCAAGGATTATTATTATTATAAACAGCCATGGAGTGAGTGACCAATTTTTTTTATTTGTAGGTTTATTGGCCAGGACACCGCGAGAGAAACTCCCTTTTCTTTTCAAACAGCGCTACGGGATCTTTAACGTCCAACTGAACAGGCAGACGGGACCTCAGTTTAACATCTCATCCGAAGGACGGCATCTCCGACAAGGCAACTCCCCCCAGAGCTGCACTGGAGCCTCAGCTTAGACTGTGTGATTCCTTATCACATCTTTGAGACGTCTCAAAGTACTTCACAGAATATACTATAAAGTGTAGTGACTGTGTATTTTGTTGGCAAAACAGGAGGAATGGGGACCGGGGAGATATTACATTTTCCACTGCTCACCACAAACACGGTGACTCCATGGTGAAGCACTTGAGCTCACATGTGACACTCCATCAAACCCAAGATTTATTGTTTTCTACACACAAAGCTTCCAGGGAAGTATTCCCATGGGAATTCAACAAGAACTTGCACTGATATAGCACCCTCCTCACAGGGTAGTGTCTCAGAGCTCTTAGAAATTGCGAGAGGATTGCAATTCCTCAGTAAGGAATGCGGCTAGAGAGGGAAAACATGGGGAATTTGTTTCAAAACTGAAGCAACGGACATGACAAAAATTACATTTGCACAACACCTTTCACACTAGAAGGATGTCCTAAGGCGCTGGACAGTGAAAGGTTTGCACCTGACACCTGAGGTGGAGGTTGGAATGAAGAGGGGTGGGGGGGGGGGGGAGTGAAAGTACGATCAGGAGAGAGCAAGGCTACAGGGCAGAAAGCTTAAATTTTGAGGTATTTGAGTCCTGTAGAGTGTCGGAGGAGGTGAGGAGTCACACAGTATTGAGGTCATTTCATGAGGCTGGAGAGGAGAGAGAGGACACATCATGGTTTGGGAGAAGCGAGAAAAGCAAACATAAAAAGAAGTTGTGAAGCAAGAGAGAGGAGCAAACGAGAGAGAGAGTGAGAGAGGAGTGAGCGAGAGAGAGGAGTGAGCGAGAGAGAGAGGAGCAAATGAGAGAGGGAGAGGAGTGAGCGAGAGAGAAGAGCAAACGAGAGAGAGAGAGAGAGAGAGGAGCGAGCGAGAGAGAGAGGGGGGAGGATCGAGCGAGGGAGAGAGAGGAGCGAGCAAGAGACGAGCAAACAAGAGAGAGGAGCAAGCGAGAGAGCGCGAGAAGAGCGAGCGAGAGAGGGAGAGGGAGGATCAGGCGAGGGAGAGAGAGCAGCTCAGGTGTCAGACCTGTAATTCTTTGTCGTCCTGTGGTCAGGAACGCTCCCCTCCCCCCGCGCAGTGGGTGTGGTCAGGTTTCGGAATAAAAGGCTTCAGGGAAAGAATGAGTGAAATAAAGAGGTTCTGAGTGAGACACTGGCTCCTGGCCCAGACCGGTTCACCCACAAAATACACAGTCACTAGACTTTACAGTGTATCCTGTGAAGCGTTTCAAGACGTCTCGATGACGTGATAAGGCATTATATGAAATGCCAGGATTATTACTATTATTATTATGATTGCTCCATCCCATTAGAACATTCATTTAGGTTTCCCTGAGACACAGACCACGGCTTTCATGCACTCGAAAAGTCCCAAAGTGCTTCACATAATTTACTGCACAGTGTAGTGCAGCAGCCAATTTGCACACAGCAATGTCCCTGTCAACAGCCACAAAGTGAATGAGCGATTTTTATTTGGGGGGATTTTCAGCCTCAGGAGACCCCGAGGGAGAGTGGGAGGGAGGGAGAAACTCCCCTCTCTTTTTGAACATTGCCATGTGATCTTTTAACTTCCAACTGAACAGCGCACAGAGCAGAGCTCAGTTTAATGTCTCATCCAAAATCATAGTGTCCCCCAACAATGCAGTGCTCCCGCCACCCCCCCACAGCACTGCAGCTGAGCCTCAGCCTGGACAGTCCCCAACGTGGGGCTCAAACCCACAACAAATGATATTTACACAGAGCCTTTCACGTCGGGAGGACAATCCAGGGATTTGTACCCGAGCTGGATGAGGAGGGATGGAGGGCAGGGGTAGGAGGCTGGCCGAAGGCGCGGTCTAAGAGGGTCTTGGGACGTGCCTTAAAGGAGACGAGGGAACCTTGACAACCTTCGAAGTAGCTCACACACACTCGGCAGGAGCAGAGCAGAGCAGAGCCGAGGCAGCCAGTGGCAGGTCTGGTCCTGATCAGACCTGTGTGTGTTAGTTAGTGTGCAGTCAGCACTTACACCGTCACATTACACAACACAGGGGCTGTGTGAGCGGCAACACCCAAACTACGCAGTTCCAGGTGTGCAATCTCAGGCTGACGGCCGATTTACAACACACTGGAGTGATTCACACTCTTGCATTTTAAGGCTGCAATCCAGTCAGGGGATGGGACGGTGGGAGTGAGCCGGTGGGTGACTCACACCTGACATTCTTTCTACACACAACAACAGCCTTTCTCTGACTTTTAAAATCTTCCAACAGCCTCAAATGGCTCCAGTCACAAACTCAACTCCACACAGACAGAGACAGACAGCAACAACAACAACTTCTATTTATATAGCGCTCTTCACGCAGGGCAGAGCCCCAGAGCGCTCAGAGAGAGAGGAGAATGACACACACACACACACACAGACAGAGACATAAACACACACACAAAGTGAGACAGAGACAGAGAGACGCGCACACGGAAGCACACAGTGAGGGACACCCAGACTGACGCCTCTGCTGCTGGATTGCCAGGAACGATTTGCCTTTATAGAGTAAAGGGTTAAATTCCACAAGTGTTAGGCTGAGGGGTTAGGACACGGTAAGCAGCGAAGATAGGCCCGCACGCACCTACACAGAGGGCATGACGCACGCTACCGCAGACACACCCAGTACACACTCACACACAGGCAGAAAGACACCTACACATACTCACACACACACGCGAAGATGGTTTCATTTAGTGAAACAGAAAGAAGAGGGTGTGTGTGAGAGAGGGAGAGAGAGACACACACACAGACACGTAATAAAATAACTTGTATTTTTACAGCATCCACAAAGTTAAAGTGTCTCAAAGCTGCACAGTAAGCAAGTGTAGTGACTGTTTTCTTGTGGCCAAAAGCATCAGTCATACTGACTGCCCAGCACCGCGCCGGGGGCTCAGGCCTGAGGCGCTGGGGCCTGGCGGAGACCGGGTATACCATAACCAGACACAACGCAAACCCTCCACAGCCCAGACTCTCACACGCACCACGTGAGACGGAGCGGATTAGCCCAGCTGTCAGCCCGGCTCAGCCCCTCACACTCTGGCATCGCAGTCAGAAGGTTGTGGGTTCAAGCCCCCATGTCAGGGACCTTTAGCTCACAGTCTAGACTGACTCTAAACCAGTGCTGTGTGTGTGTGTGTGCGCCCCTCACTGTGTGTGTGTGCCTCGCTGTGTGTGTGTGTGTGTGTGTGCGCCCCTCACTGTGTGTGTGTGCGCCCCTCACCGTGTGTGTGTGCCTCGCTGTGTGTGTGTGTATGCACCCCTCACTGTGTGTGTGTGTGTGTGTGTGCGCCCCTCACTGTGTGTGTGTGCCTCGCTGTGTGTGTGTGTGTGTGTGTGCGCCCCTCACTGTGTGTGTGCCTCGCTGTGTGTGTGCGCCCCTCACTTTGCGCGCGCCTCGCTGTGTGTGTGTGCCTCGCTGTGGGTGTGTGCCTCGCTGTGTGTGTGCGCGCGCCTCGCTGTGTGTGTGCGCGCCTCGTTGTGTGCCTCACTGTGCGTGTGTGCCTCGCTCTGTGTGTGTATGTGTGCGCCTTGCTGTATGTGTGTGTGTGCCTTGCTGTGGTTACGTGTTTGTCTCGCTGTGTGTGTGCATATGTGTGTCTGCATCTATGTGTGTGCCTTGCTGTGCATGTTTGCTGTGTGTGTGTGCGCTCGCTGTGTGTGTACGCTCACTGTGTATATGTGTGCCTCACTGTGCGGGCGTGTGTCTCGCTGTGCGTGTGTGCGCTCGCTGTGTGTGTGCGTACGCTCGCTGTGTGTGTGCGTGCGCTCGCTGTGTGTGTGCGTGTGCTCGCTGTGTGGGTGTGTCTCGCTGTATGTGTGTGTGCTCGCTGTGTGTGTGTGCGCGTGTGTGTGCTCGCTGTGTGTGTGCGCGTGTGTGTGCTCGCTATGTGTGTGTGCGCGTGTGTGTGCTCGCTGTGTGTGTGTGCATGTGTGTGCGTGTGTGTGCTCGCTGTGTGCGTGTGTGTGCTCGCTGTGTGTGTGTGCGTGTGTGTGCTCGCTGTGTGCGTGTGTACGTGTGTGTGCTCGCTGTGTGTGCGTGTGTGTGCTCGCTGTGTGTGCGTGTGTGCGTGTGCTGTAATAACAATAATAACAATAACAACAACAATAATAGTAATCCTTGCATTTGATGCAGTGCCTTATCATGTTGTTGAGATGCCTCAAAGCGCTTCCCACGATACACTGTAGTGTATTGACTGTATTTTGTGGGCGAAACAAGGTCTCCACTGAAGCCCAACCCTAACCTCCTTTCCCACATAAAGCCCCTCCATCTCGACTGTCACCCAGCAATTCAATGGTTAATCTCACCCGAGGTTTAAGGCAGATGACGGGGTCAGGTTAGCGTCAGGTTGGAGCATAAACTGGTCAGATAGACACAGAACATGACATGGACGTGTGACAGGGCACACACGCGGGAGGGAGAACGTTCCCTGAGCTTTGAACAGTGCAGGTGCCGGGACAGACCACGTGAGGGGAGCGACAATAATAATCCTGGCATCTGATGAAGCGCCTTATCAGGTCTTCGAGGCGTCTCAAAGCGCTTCACAGGATACACTGTAAAGCGGAGTGACTGTGTGTTTTGTGGGTGAAACGTTGGGGGAGGGGAGAGAAGGCAGCCGGAGACTCACCGGCCGTCAAACCCGATCCACAGGTTCACCACTGACTCCGAGAACATCAGGGTCAGAGAATGTCGCGTGTGGGGGTGAGTGGGGAGGGGGGGGGGGGGGGGGGGAAGGCTCCTGAACCTCATTACCAACCACACACCTTCCCACCTTCCCACTCACTTCTCTTCACCCCTTCAAGTCCTTGGGTTTACCACAACCCCCCCCCACACGCCCTGCCCCACCCACCAACACACACAAAACCGTGTGTGTATCAGCACTGGTTAATGTTTAATACACCCGAGGATCTCAATCTCCCCTCCTCCCCTCCTTCCGCCCCCGCCCGCCCCCGCCCGCCCCCGCCCGCAAGGTACATGGCTCTAAACCAACACGTGTGTCCCTGAGCCTCAGCGCCACCCGAACACAGCCTGAACCCCAAACCCAGTCCGCCCTCTTCCCCCCCCGCAACTGCACACGCCACGCACACACACACCATACACACACGCCACTCACACACAGACACATACACACACGCCACGCACACACACACACATGCCACACACACACGATTGCCCTCGTCACACGCACTGACTGAGGCCAAACCCCACAAGGTGGGCAACATCCACCGAGCGATCCACAACAACAACTTGCATTTATATATCGCCGTCAGCGGCTCAGAGCATCTGATCCACACGGACACACGACACGGACAGGCGAAGTGACATGGACACGCGTGACCACAACTCACCGCGACACGGACACTCCCAGCCCTTACCTTCAGGTCTGTCATGATGGTCTGGAAGAGGCCGCCCAGCGCACTGCAATCCTTCTCCATTCCCACATCCATAGTGAGCCGGAGACCCCCCCCACACACAGAGCCCCCCCCACACACACACAGAGCCCCCCCCCCACACACAGAGCCCCACACACAGAGCCCCCCCCCCACACAGAGCCCCCCCCCACACACACAGAGCCCCACACACAGAGCCCCCCCCCCACACACAGAGCCCCCCCACACACACAGAGCCCCCCCCACACACACAGAGCCCCACACACAGAGCCCCCCCCCCACACACAGAGCCCCCCCCACACACACAGAGCCCCCCCCCACACACACAGAGCCCCACACACAGAGCCCCCCCACACACACAGAGCCCCCCCCACACACAGAGCCCCCCCCCACACACACAGAGCCCCCCCACACACACAGAGCCCCCCCCCACACACAGAGCCCCCCCCACACACACAGAGCCCCCCCCCACACACACAGAGCCCCACACACAGAGCCCCACACACAGAGCCCCCCCCACACACAGAGCCCCCCCCCACACACAGAGCCCCCCCCCACACACAGAGCCCCCCCCCACACACAGAGCCCCCCCCCACACACAGAGCCCCCCCCCACACACAGAGCCCCCCCCTCACAGACACAGCCCCCCACACACACACACACAGCCCCGGGGGTGGGGGTGGGAGCGGTTCGGGGTTCTCAGCGCTGAGCAGCGGCTGGAAACATTGTAGCCGCGCGGCGGGAACCTCACTTCATCCTCTCCTCCGCCTCTCCCTCTCCCACTCCCTCTCTCTCCCTCTCCCTCTTCCTCTCTCCTCCCTCTCTCTCTCTTCCCTCTCTCCCTCTTCCCTCTCTCTCCCTACAATCCTCTCTCGCTCCCAGTTTCCATTTTGCTCAGGTTGGGGGCGGGGCTATGGCTGGGGGCGGGGCTATGGTTGGGGGCGGGGCTATGGTTGGGGGCGGGGCTATGGCTGGGCCGTGATTGGGGCGGGGCTGTAGTTGGGGCGGGGCTATGATTTTGGGGGCGGGGCTGTATTTGGGGCGGGGCTGTGGTTGGGGCGGAGCTGTGGTTGGGCTGTGATTGGGGGCGGGGCTATGATTGGGGGCGGGGCTGTGGTCGGGGGCGGGGCTGTGGTTGGGGGCGGGGCTGTGGTTGGGGGCGGGGCTGTGGTTGGGGGCGGGGCTGTGGTTGGGGGCGGGGCTGGGGTCGGGGCTGTGGTTGGGGGCGGGGTTGTGGTGGGGGCGGGGCTGGGGTTGGGGGCGGGGCTGTGGTTGGGGGCGGGGCTGTGGTTGGGGGCGGGGCTGTGGTTGGGGGCGGGGCTGTGGTCGGGGCGGGGCTGTGGTTGGGGGCGGGGCTGTGGTTGGGGGCGGGGTTTTCGGAAAAGGTCGGGAATTTCCGCTCCTCCCAACCCCCTCTCCCTCTCTCCCTCTGTAACTCTGTCACTCACTCCATCTCTCACTCGCTCAATCCTCCCTCCCTCCCTCCTTCACTCTATCTCTCCCATTCCCTCCATCCATCCCTCTGCCCTCCATCCCTTTCTCACTCAGTCACTCCCTCCATCCTTCACTCCCTCATTCACTTACTCCATCTCTCAGTCATTCACCCCCAAAAAATGTGGTCACTCAACTCACGACTGTTTGTGGGACATTCTGTGCACAATTGGCCGCCGCGTTTCACCCACAAAATACAGTCACTTTACAGTCTATCCTGTGAAGCGCTTTGAGACGTCTCGATGACGTGATAAGGCGCCGTATCGAAGGCCAGGATTATTATAATTTTTCTCGGGTGGGGGGGAAATGCGAGACAGTGATGAGGAGAAATAAACTTGGCTGTTTCCCCCCACCCCCACTATCCCCCTCTTCCACCAACGCAGGTACGGGACTGGACAAACTGACACACCGACAGCAGAACTGACTCCACTGATGGTATTTAATTTGACTCTGGTTTTCCCAGATTAATTATTCAGGCACTTTGTGTGTAAAAACAATTACAGCAATATTAAACAGCTGACAACACAGCACACATAACACATCACAAACAGATCACAAGCACGCCATGCACACACATATACCGCACACACACACACGCACACACACCGAGCACACACTGTGACAGCCTGGCTCAGTCTCGCTTCCAAGTCAGAAGGTTTTGGGTTTGAACCCCCACATCAGGACATGGAATCACATTGTCTAAGCTGCCGCTCCAGTGGACTGCTGGGGGGAGTCGCATTGTCGGAGCTGCTGTCCTTCGGATGAGACATGAAATCAAGGTCCCATCTGCCTGTTCAGAAGGACATTAATGATCCCAGGGCAGTATTTGAAAAGAGAAGGTGTCCTCTCCTGGTGTCCTGGCCAACTATATAAAATATAAAACTATATAAAATTGCTCATTGGTTGCTGTGTGCAAAATTGGCTGCCGCATTTGCCTACAAATACATAGTCACTACACTTCACAGTAAATCCTGTGAAGCTCTTTGGGACATCCTGCCAACGTAAAAGGCACTGTTATCAAATGCAAGATTATTACTCGTATTACATACAAACACACACACAAACACATAAACAGAAACATATGTACACACCGTACACTCACACACAGACGTACCTCAGAGACACGGACACAGAGAGGTGACAGACTGCCCGTCACCCAGACACCCAGTGAGGGAACCACCGAGAGTCAAGTGTTTAAATAATTCAGTCTCATTCCAATCGATCATTGTGAGCAACAACAACAACAACAAGATTCCATTTATAAAGCGCCTTTCACGTCAGCACATTAAAGCGTATCAATAGCGTCTGAACTATGTCAAAATGTCTCAAAGCGCTTCACGAGTAATTACAGTTGGATATACTGACTGTTTTGTAGGCGAACTCAGCAGCCATTTTAGCAAAAGAACGTAAGAAATGCTAAACAAAAAAAGACTAAGGTATTTTTCAGAAAGCAAAGTCCCACAAACAGGACGCAAATATTGTATCCCATTTATCGGGATTATTGTCAGTCAGGACTCTGACCCCAACAGAGAAACTCAGTTCTTTGTTCCCGAAAAGTGTTGCAGAAAATCCCCCTGAACCACCACAGCCTTAGTTTAACTTCCTCCGGGAAGATGGTAACTCTGACAACAACAACAACATATGACATTTCACGTCAAGAGGACGTCCCAAGGTGCTGGAGAGTCAAGGATTTGGACCTGAGCTGGAGGTTGGGATCAGGAGGGGTGAAGGGCACGGAGGGTGGGGGTAGAAGGATGGCCGAAACAACAGTGCTCCCCCCCCCAACACTGCACTGACGTTTCAGCCTGGACTGTGAGCTCAAGGACCCCGACTTGGGGGGCTCGAACCCACAGCCTGAGCAGAGAGTGTGACCGACTGAGCCAGGCTGACATTTGTCGTGTGTCAGCGAGACGTGGTGACAGAGGTGAAAGGTTGAAGGTGAGAGCGAGATAAGTCAGATAGCAAGTCCCTGCGACCTTTGATCAGGGTTGTCTCTGTGATTGACGGGTAATGACTCACTGCATTGGGCGCCGAGCCAACCTCCCACAGGAAACCCTCCTCTCCTCCCAGCGAGACGTTACCACAGGACTCTCTCCACGACTGAGCACTCTCTGGGTTTGAGCTCAGCAATGAGGGACAGGGACACAACCGGCCGGGCTGCCCTCTGTTGCTTACTGTTGGGAACTGCAGCCAGGCCAGAGCTCCTTTCTCCAGCCATGAAACTATTTAATGTCAGGTTATATAATAATAATCCTTACATTTGATATAGTGCCTTATTACGTCTTCAAGACGTCTCAAAGCACTTCATAGAATATACTGTAAAGTGAATTGACTGTGTCTGTCTGTCCGCCAAGACCGCAATAACCGACTGACGTAGAGATAAGATTTATATCTCATCAGAAAGGTCTTGCATGGGGGGGAGCGCCATGGGCATATTTTTTTTCCGGGGATCTCCTATCATCGATGAGCTATATTAAAATATATATTAAAAAATTCTGCAACAAAGTAGTATAGATGTACAGGAGTCACACACCCTTTCAGAGAGATGCATCTATACTAATAATGACAAATGTCTGTCTGTGTGTTAGGAGTCCTCCCAACAGGATATGTGTGCAAATATATGAACAAGGGATGCTAATGAGTTCAATACAACAAAATTACATTTGTATAGCGCCTTTCACATCAGGAGCTCGTCCCAAGGCACTGAAATAGCACATTTTCTTAATCTTAAGCGATAAAGATGCCTAAGAAGATCAAGGCTCTCAAGGACAAATAAAAATGAAAGAGAGAAGGCCGATTAAATGAAACTGGTTCCAAGCATTGGGTACAGCTAGCATACATGTACATATATATATATATACACATATACATACATATATTCTTATATATACATAGAGATTTTAAGAATGTTTTTGCACAGATCTTACGACAATCACATCCCGTGTTAATTAATTTGGTGGGACTGGTGTGAGGGTCCAGAGGAGGGTGGGACCCAGGAAGTATTCCTTCACACAAGGACTTTACATCAACAGTTATCAGAACAGGGATGGTGGGAGCCAGGACATCAGGACTGAAAGGGAATGGGATAGAGCGGGGAATCCAGAAGGATAAGTGGGAAAAACTTCTGTCCATTGTGGGGGTGGGGGGGGGAGGGAATAGCATCCACTGATGGTAAACTGCCCAAAGCAGCGATCCCATGATGGTGGATGGACCAGTCTAGATTGAAGACACAAACTGCGTGCACAAAGCTTTCAACAGACAGATTTGAAGCTGTGAATGTTTGCTCTGTACAAACCCACCGAGCAGGACATCCACAGGATAGTCTGTATCTGAGCAGCACCGGTAACAGCTGGGACCAGCCCAGTGCACACCTGTCACTCCGGTAACTGTGCCGAGACTCACCCATCCCACCCCCCCACCCAACGCTCAGCAGTTCACAGCGAACAACCAGAGCCTTCGGCAGATTGTGTTGTGTCAGTGTTTGGCCACATCCTCCTCCCCGACCTCTTCACCGCTTGTCATCAGAACATCAACAATGAAACTCTGGTAACTCGCCTCTGCCACAAGTCAAGACGTCCACCCCACATACCCGGCCACTCACTCAATACCTCCCCAGC